GCTATTCTCATTGAACGTAGCGCGTTTAAACTGGAGCAATTTGTTTTCGAAGAAAAGACAGTGTCTAGCATGGTTCTTAATGACTGAAAGCTTTTTCGCACTATAAGTGGTCTTCGCTTAGTTTTTTGAGTAAACTTCGAGCAAGTACGGTCCTCTTTTGTTCATCACATTTTTCAAAACTATTATAAGCTTCAGCTACAAAGTTATCAGCTGATTGATTAATTAAATGTTGACCTTCAACTTGTCGTCTTGTAACGAATTTTGTGACCTTTCCCGAACATATGATGTGTCGATGTTTGAAATTATCAGTCCGACCATGCGAAGCAGTGAAATTGTTCGCAGAGCGTTCAATCAAGATCGTGCACTGGTAGTGGTCCTTTTAGGGTTTCTGGTCTCAGTAAGTAGTATTTATGGCACAAACATGAGCCTTAAAGCGTTTAATTCCTTCGTAGGGTTCTCCGGTTATCACAAACTTAGTTAGACGAGTCCACTATAATAAGAACTGATGTGCATGCATATAGTTCTTGACAACACGATGATGATATGGGCGTCAGGTGTCTCCCACAAGTGATCGGAAAGCGGTGTACAAAAGGGCGGAATTCCTTCCATGAACTAACCAATGATTGCACCAGTTCTTTTCGTAACCGAGATTCTATGCGTGGGCTTTTTCATCTTGCTTAAAATTTTCTGTCGAATCCAAAATCCAAATGTTTGTTACAACAAGACTTTTTTTCCTGGTTTCTGCTATTTTCTACGAGAATGAAAATCGTTTTCTGACGAAGACGAGCAAAAAAGGGGTGTCTTAAACAAAAATGAATTTTAGATTCGATTTCTTGGGTGCCCTTTTGTACGCGGCTTTCGTATCACTTGTGGGATACATCGAACCTCCGATATCATTAAGAGCGCAACAGCATGAACATAGGCTTATTCTTTCATACCATACTGGCACGTGAAAACCACTAGCAATACGTTGTTAACGACAATGGGCTGTGAAATAAAATGCTTCATAATTACCATTCGAATATTTTGTTATTTTCAATTGATAGTCACAGGTTGGGGATTTTCTGCAGACGGAACAGTTATATGTAGTTGATAAATAATCTTTGAAGGGCTCCGCACGCCAAGTACAAACATGACGTTTAGTGAACGATAGGATATTGTCATGGGTAATAATTGTAGAAATCATGAACCAATTTCTAGGAGATATTTGAGTATTATAGCGTACTGTTTTGCAGAAAGTTCCTGCCTATAATTAAATTATAGATTGTCAAATGATGCGATATGTCTCTTTGATGACTATATTATGTAAGATGTACCTGTTTAGCTAATACGCTGATATTCTTTCAAAATTGTCTACTTTCGGACTAAGCAGATTCATACTTGATTGTCCGATATATACAATTTCCGAGATCTAAATCAGGTTTTTCATTTAGTCGACACAACACATATTACATGCTTTTTTCCGTCGTCTTTTGCATGTTTTAGGCATAAAAAGATTTAGTTTTCATAACCGAGATCCTTTCCGTGTTTTTATCTCATAGTTTTGATATGCAAGATCAAAACCATGTTATTTCGGTCATCATTTTTCGTTTTATGCCCATTCCTTGTTGTATACAGAATATACGTTTCGTATTTAATTACTATTGCTTTTGTTCTGTTCTACATTTGGAGGACAAAGTAAAGTGGGAACAAACTACTGAATGAATCCAGTACAGAAAATGTGCTTGTCACTGTTGTAGCTTGTAAATGTGACAGATGATTCGATCAAAGAAGTTTTCAAAAAGAGATTAAACTTAGCTTTTTAATCATCAGTCGAATTTTCAAAACACTGATGCTCCTAGCCTCGAGTGCAGCAAAGTAAAGAAACAAGGATTGAATAGACTATCAGTAGTATGAATCACTGGAGACGTGCATAAGGGGTGATAAGTTGTTCTTTGGCTGACTGAAAAGAATACGCCAAAGTAAATAATCCTCACCACGCTTTTACATCATGCATTCGCTTTCTGGCTTTCATCAAGCTTTCGTTAAGTTAGTCTGTTGATAATTAATGCCTTGATATTTTAATTGTTTGTTCTTGTTATTCGTCTCGTGACACTTCTGAAAACCGTCGTTATCATTAGTGTAGCGTTGAGCATTCTGTTTTCCATCTGCTTCAATTGTCAAGGAACCCCCACGAGGGAAGTTGGAGAGAAAGGCATCGAGTATGTTCGGTAATGGTAGTGACCGTCAGCTATTGATCTGATATATTGAAGCATTCTTCTTCAATAATTTTAGTCCACATGGGAAAACGTATTAATGTTGAATCAAGGTCTCTAACATAAAAAGAACATTTTCACACCTTCTACGTTCTACTTTGTTTCACCTGCACATTGTGTAGGTGAAAAAAAAAGAGAAACGTAAGATGTTTTTGAAGGACATCTTACTTGATGAAAAGGATTGAATGTCATTTCATGTGTTTGTTTATGTGGTTGTATATTCGAGCACATCACTGTGTAGATGCGGAGGTATACCACCGCACTTAATATTTAGAATACATCAAAACGGAAAGGGGAGTGCCTGCCAAAACAAAATGTTAATAAGTAGAGAACACGGTGCAAACTGTTTTGAACGTATAAATAGATACAAAATGTAGCAGTACTACATTACGAGAAATAAACAAATTGTGATACACTGATGGTGATTATGATAATCTCGAATCTTTCCTTCGTATTATCATTAGGCTTGGCCCTTGTTGGCACTGTTACACTGTTATCACAACAGCAATGCTTCAGTGACATAAGCGGAGTGTACTTACGCAGAGACAAAGTTAGCAACGATGATTATGCCTTCGTCGCCTACTTTCCTCATGGGGGTTCCTTGATAATTGAAGCAAATGAAAAACAGAATGCTCAACACTATACTGGTGATAATGATGGCTTTTACAAGTGTCACGAGATGAATAACAAGAGCATACAATTAAAATATCAAGGCATTAATTATCAAGAGACTAACTTAAGTGTTAGTATTAAACAATCAAGTGTCAAGTGTTACGGCGCTATCGATGATAGTAGTGATCGACAAGTATACTGTCCAGATGGGGTAGAACATGGTCAATTATTTGCATTTAAACCAATTGATGAAAAGACAGGACGTTTTACAGATCCACTAGGTCCTAAGACATCTCGAGCGTTTGAATTGAGACGTCTGTATAAACATGCAACTCTAGGAGATCAAGATAAATGTTACGGCAACATGGCTGGCGTATATATAATTCAGTATGATAATAATGCCTTCAGCATGGCTGCATTCGATCCGTCGGGCTATATAATTAGTACTGCAGCGAATACTCGAAATAAAGATGGGACATTTAATCGCGGTACAAGTGTTGGTATGTAAAGGAAAGCTCGCTTCAGAAGCAGCTCTGTTTCATTTTGTCGGTGTCTTTCTCACTCTTTTCAGGAACGTGGGAGTGTACAAAGCAGTACACAGCGAGTGGTCAAACAAATTACTTCACATATTCTGCTAATACTCTAACGCATGGACAGAAAATCGTTTCTTCGACATTCTATATGCAGTGTGACTCAAGCGACGAAACCTGTTCTGGAGCCCAACAAGAGTTTTACTATCCACCACAGTATCAGCTTATGCCTTTCCACAAAGGCACACTTCTTACTGGTAATGGAGTACCAGTAATGTTCAAAGCTAGTCGTCTCTATAAACTTCCAGGAATAAAATCGTGTCATCACAAATACAGCGGTGAATATGCAATAACTTTTAATCGTACCGATAGTTCATCACAACCAGTCCTCACTACAGGTTACGCTCTCTATCCTACTGCAATTGTATATGCTCCCGTTGCTTTTGAAGATCAGTCTGCTCCTACAGGAAATATTCTCGGCGTTTGGGATTGCAACGACGCGGGTAAAATAACTGTGCGTCGTGCTATTTTCGATTTGGTCACAAAAGAACAACCTAAACCATTAATAACACCAGTCATTATGAAATTCCAATGTGGAAAACAGGCTGGTGATAAATGTATAACTCCACCGACAATATTTTACTTTTATCCTTTAATTCTGCCAAAGAACGGAACCTTCACCACGACACCGATGTCAAGAAAGGAAGGAATTTATTCAGCAGTAATAGTAAAGTATTAGACTAGCTATAATGTACTGTCACAACTGTTACTTCTTTGTATTTTTAATCGTGCAAGTTGTTTTTATAAAGTTTCTTGCTTTATTCTTTTGAAACATACATGTAGCGAGCTATATACTTCTTACACAGCCTTGTCAGCAGTTCATTACTATAGCTGTGTTGTCAATAACTATATACACCTCAGTTCTTATTATAGTGGACTCGTCATTGTTGTACATAATGTTATTACCTTTCTTTTTCTTTAATTAGATAACAATAGAAATGCGTGATTAGTAACTACTATTTCTCATTCTTCTCTATCTGCCTACCTCGCGTTGTGATAATCACGTCGATGAAAACGTGATGAAAGCCAGAAAGCGAATGCATGATGTAAAAGCGTGGTGAGGATTATTTACTTTGGCGTATTCTTTTCAGTCGGCCAAAGAACAACTTATCACCCCTTATGCACGTCTCCAGTGATTCATACTACTGATAGTCTATTCAATCCTTGTTTCTTTACTTTGCTGCACTCGAGGCTAGGAGCATCAGTGTTTTGAAAATT